AGTCTGTACTGCTATCACAACTGCCAACATTTCCCTTTGCATAGGTTGACTAAGACTGTTTAGATACACCCAGTGCTCGACTGAGGTAGGCTAGTGGTCACCCTTGTTGAGTGAGGATCACTACTCTTTCATCACCTAAAGCATCGGTTTCAACAATGAAGGGTTCATCGAAGTTTAGCAGGGCCAATATCGGTGTTGAAGTCATGGCCTATTTTAAGTTTGTGAAGGCTTCTTCTACATCTAGATTCCATTCAAACTGACCCTTTTTTAGTAAATTGGTTAAATATCTAGGCTATTAGTCCATAGTTTTGCACAAATTTTTTGTAGTAGCTGGTTAACCAAAAGAATCCCCAGAGTTCTGTCACATTGGATGGTCGGGGCCAATCTAGTATAGCTTGAATCTTACTTTGATCTACCTTGACTCCTTGGGGAGTAATAACATGTCCCGGATACTCTAACTCTTGCTGCCCAAACACGCACTTCTTGAACTTGACAAAAAACTTGTGTTACCGTAGGATTTCAAACACTTTTCCAACATGTGTCTAGTGAAAGAGTCACATTGAGTTATAAACCAAGATATCATTGAAAAATACCGACACAAATTTATGTAGTTAAGGGTAAAAAAATAGTGTTCATCACTGATTGAAATGTAGACAGTGCATTACATAAACCAAAAGGCATTACTAGGTATTCATAATGGTCAATGTGTGTTCGGAAAGCAGTTTTGTGGGTGTCAGCAAGGTGAACTCTGATCTGGTGATACCTGGCTGTTAAATCCAATTTAGTGAAATAGGCAACTCCATGCAATTCATCCAACATGTCTTCTATAGTTGGGATGGGGAATATGTCCTTTATGATAACTGTATTGAAGGTGCGGTAATCAATGTAAAATCGCCAAAAGCCATTTTTTTTCGAACTAGCAAAATTGGAGAGGAGAATGGATTGATGCTTGGTCGGATCAGACCCAAATTGAGCATCTCTATGACCTGTTTTTTAATCTCTTCTTTCTGAAAATAGATATACCGGTAGGGGCGGACATTGACTAGGTCGACCCCTTCCTTCAAGTTGATTTGATGATCAACCTCCCTGGCTGGTGGCAACTGGTTAGGATCGCATAAAAGCTTAAAAAATTCAGCTAAGAGCTTCTGTAATTCCGGATCATCTGTGGTGGTCGTTTCTGTTCTGGGTAGCAGACAGATAGCATACATGGAATGTCTGCCAGCCAATTCTCGGTCAGCCTCTTCATGAGATGCTAGTCGGATGGGCGGGGTATCGAGATCGCGCGACTGCCGATTCTGGTTGAGCCAACGAATCTCCATTGTTAAATTTTTCCAATCGCAAGCAACAGGACCCAAAGCTTCCAGCCACTGGACACCCAAAATAATGTCGAGACTAGTTAAGAGCAATGCATTAAGCGTAAAAGTGAAGGAGATGCCTTGGATGCAGAGGCGAATTCCACCAAACCGGCCTTGGCACCGCAGAGACTTTCCGTTTGTAATTTTCACAGTGAACGACTTAGTGGGCACCGCGGGTAAAAGCAGCCGATTTGCCACCTTCTCATTGATAAAGTTGTGTGTCGAGCCACTGTCGATGAGGGCCACAACTTCCTAATGGCAGATGACCGCTAGGACCTACATGGTGTGCGCAGAGGACCACCTCATAAAGGCGTGTAGAGCGATTTCAGTCCCTTTTGTCTCTTCTTCTTCTTCAGCTGCCCGTCCGCCGTCGAATAATAGAAGCTGGGGCTTGCGATATCAGTGGCCGAAAATGAACCGTTTATTGCAGTTGAAGCATATATCCCCTGAGTTAGCCACCACTGCATTTCTTCCCAAGAGAGATGTTTTGGGGCGTTAGGAGCAGCTAGGGCTTGCGGAGTCGGGATGACCTGATTTCTGGATGTTAGACCGGGTAGGGTTCGGTTCAAGCGGCTCACCCCTCGTTGCCAGTCTACCTGTTCTTCTCTCATTCAGGCCAGGCCGAGGGCATCCTTCAAAGTTTTAGACTGAAACATTCAAATCCCATCTGCGAGTTCGGGCTTGAGCCCACCAAAGAAAGTCCTAATCAAAGCCTTTTGGGTCCATCCGTGTACCCGGTTGCCCGAATGTTCAAATTCCCTCTAGCATTCCTAAAGCGGGCCAATCTGTTTGATGCGGGTTAGGGCTTCATCGAAATCTTCATACTCAGTGGGCCTAAATCCAGTCCATAATTCTTCTTCAAATACGGCCTAGCTAATCTCGCGGCCTTCTTCCTTGTAAGTTTTGCTCAGCCACTGCCACCAACAATTGGCTTCCCCTTCCAAGTGAGATGAGGTGAGGGCCACCCGGTGTGATGCAACCGTCGTTTGGAAATCAAAAAATTGATTGACGCAATTGAGCCACTCCGTGGGGTCGCCACCAGAAAAGGATGGAAATTCTAGTTTGGTGAGCTTCGGGTAGAATGGTTGTCTTCTGTCATCCCTTTCTAGCCCTTCTATGTGGCGGATTTACGTGAGAATCAGGCAACTGATATGGTTGCTGCTGGAGCCCTCCCAGTTGGAAGCAATCGCGTTGCTCAGCCGCTGAAGGTTTTCTTCAATCAAACGGAGCTTGTCAGCCATGCCGATTTCTAGCCGGCTAACGCTATCCTGCAAGCTACCGAGACCTACTTCCAAGTTCTCGACCTGCTCTTTGTTGGAAGTCATGATATTCTAGCTCTAATACCACTGACAGGTCCCAGTCAAAGCTAGTTTACAGTGAGGATAATTTTTCTGCTTATGGTGAGAAAAGAACCAAGTTTTTCGATTTTAATTCGTTGCCTTTTTATTCAGAAGCTGATCGCTTAAATACAGAATTTTAAACCAAATTCCCCACTCTTACAAACAAGATAAACTCAAATTCCTAATTTTATAATCTGATAAGATAAACAGAAAATTAACAAATGCTGAAAACGTGAGAGTAGCTTCTGCTAATAGTGGGTTTTTGACCGAGTCTGTTGGAGTGTATTTTCAACACGTGCAGCACCTGTTTCCTTGTCTTTCAGTTCTAGTTTAATCCATATATTTTGGATTCCTTCTTGGGATCCTTTAGTATTTTCTAGCCTTATCAAATTGTACTGACATGAAGGATCAAGTTGCAGCTTTGTTCACAAAATGCTTGAGTTTACAAGTTTCTATCATCAGCCTGGGGTGGTGCTAAGAATAGAAGTTGATGTTGAGGAGGAGTGTTAAAGTTACAACACTAGTTAACACGTGGTCATCATTTTGACTGAGTTAGTGTCTATCTTAGTTTAATTTGTTACTATAGATGCTAGATTTTATCTCTACCCGTTAGTAGAGAAGTTAGTGACAGAGGATAACATCCAGTTTAATGTCTATTTTAGTTTGATTTATTGAGATAAATGTTATAGAGTATATCTCTACCAATAGTGAAAAATTAGTGGCAAAGAATAAAATCGAGTTTAGTGTCTATGTTAGTTTAATTTATTAAAATAAATGTTAGAGTTATCTCTACCCATTAGTGGAGAAGTTAGTGGACGAAAATAAGATGAAGTGACTTTTATTTACATTAATTGTATAAGGCAGCCCTTTTGCATCAAATGAATCAATTCTTTCGGAGCTTCATTTTTGTTTTAAGAAATATATTTCATTGAGTACATTTCTTCTCTGTAATTTCGACGATCAAACCTCCAAAAGAACTAAAAATTAGCATTTACCAAGAGTAGAGACCAAAAAAATTAGCCTCTATTAGCCAAAAATTTAGAAAGTCAACCATAAGTAGTAGCAAGAAAACAAGGTAAAAGCTGCACTAACCATTACAACATATCACACATAGCTCCAGTCTTCCCTAATTTTTTCCAAATTCACAAAAAAAATTTCTTTTCCAACATGATCATATGGGTAGATTATGTATTTCATTGGTAAAACAAAATTATATATCTGCAATAACCCAAAAATGATATACTTGTTACATAATAGTAACAATAATGACAAATGAATATCAAAAACTATAACATATACGTTTAATTTTGTTTGAAATAATTTATGAATGCCAAAGAAAGAAATTGGATAAAGACAAACTATAGGCAAGAGGTCAACTTGGACAACCTAAAAGCAGAACCAATCGATAAGGAGGGAGGCTGCATATTATGTTTAAAGTATAGGAATCAGAAAAAAAAAAAAAAAAAAAAAAAAAAAAAACAAGCATAAATAGTCTCAACTTTTATGCAATCGACATTTAATGCAATAAGGAAGCATGTGGTGCATGGAAACAAGAGGAAAGGCTACAACATGTTTTATATAGAGAAATGGGCCGGGTTCTAAAGGAATTGATGCTTAAAATGGGGAGCAAAAGGTAATGACTTGGACTATGGAAAGTAAGTCCTTAATGTGGAAACAGATGAGCAAGTTGAGAAATAAGAAGGGGGAGAAGCAGACAAATTGGACATGTTAACCGAGGCTTCGATGAACAAAGTGAGAAGGGAAAAGGAAAAGTAGTCAGGGATGTTAAAGAAACTCCAAGCAAAATGGAAGAGGCAACAAAAGGTCTATCCTTGTGGGGGAGCCTCAAGTAAGTTAATAACAGAGGGGGGATCACAGTATATGTTTCATAAAAATGATAAACCTTAAAGATAAAGGAGATTGAAGATAAGAAAAGAGAAAGACAAATATGTTCAGGAGAAAGGTTGCATGTATGAGGAGGTCAAATTTAGCAAAAGCCAACTGTCTATCTCGATGGGAGAAACAAAGGAATCAAGAGTAATTTTCAGAGGAAATTAAAATTATCGAGGGCCATAAAGACTGTTCGAGATAGAAGGAATTCTCGGGCAATATTACTCAGTGGACCATTAAAAAAGAAGATTTTTAATGGTGTCAACGATCTAGGGGTCGAACTTCAACTTCATGATACTGATATTTTTACAGAGGAGAAGGGGTGGAGGTTTCATACAGAGGCATTAGTAATAGGAATCAATTAATTAGGGAGGAGAACAAAAAATTTGGTGTGGTTTCTAAATAGATAAAGGAAGACGCCATCTTCATACTAGAAGAACCGGTGGCTAAGGACTAGGTTGAGACAAAGAATGATCAAAGCTAAGGTATAGATTTTTCTCTTCCTGCAGTATTTGTGTTTATGTCTTCTTAATGTTAATTTTATCTTCAAATATTAAACGACTGGGGAGGAGTGAAAAGAAAAGAACATTAAATAAGAAAATTAGAGAGTTAAAGCCCTCAATGGTGTTTATCCAGGAAACTAAATGGAGATTATTATAAATAGATTTATTAGAAGATTATGGAATAATAAGGGCATTGAGTATTGCATGTCTCCTTCTGTTGGTGCCTCTGATGGCCTGTTGTGCATGTGGGATGGGAATGTGATACAGATAAGGTGGACTATTTTTACGTCAAATTCCATTAGTATTGATGGTGTGTTAAAACACTTTAATATAGACGTCGTGTTTGTGAATGTGTACGGCCGTTATTCCATTCATGATAGAGAGATGAAGACGTTGTGGGCGGAGTTAAGATCTACATAGCCAATATGAACAAACCTCTTTGTTTGGGAGGTGATTTCAATGTTGTTTTGCAGTCTTCTGAAAGAATAGGCAAAATTGTGCAATTGTATGTTACAACACAGTATGTAATTAATTTTTATCGCATGTATATTTTAGCTAAAATTATTTTTTTTTTAATCTATTAATATGATATTTATTTTTTAGTTAGATATATCTATTATAAGTAACAATAAATTTTATTTTTGATTTTTGATTTCTTAACAAGTTATAAATGATAACAATTACAATGTACATGATTCATTGAACGCAAGTCATAATCGAAAATAGACACATTATAAATTAATAGGAATTAACTTATATATGCATGTCTATTTTGAAAGGAAAGATAAACCACATTATGAATTGATATAAATTAATTTGCGTATACATGTGTTTGTAGGATATTACTTAGTGTGACACAATTATTAGTATATTTTGTTAATATATTACTTTTTAAAATAGAAAGGATATCCTTGTTATCTTTAGAAAGCATGGATTTAAGTATATTAGAGGCTTTTTTTTTTTTTTTTTTGGAATATCTAATATAAAATTAGAAAAAAGGAGTGGATTTAAGTATGTTGTTTCCCTTTTGCTTTCTTTAATCATTTAGCTAGTCAAGTTCTATTTTTTTTTTTTTTTCTTTTTTATTTACTACTGGCAAGGATGTTCTTAAACTCGTTCTTTTTGTTACTTGTTCTGTTCTTGGATTGAAAACTTTCTCATATAAGCACTCATTTAAATTTGTTATTGTTTTGAAGGCTAGTTTTAGCTTTAACATTTAAATTTTCTATTATTTTGAAGGTCACTTTTAGCTTTATTATGCATTGCATCTCTATGGTTCTCGTTAAATTAGCACATGTTGTTGGTTGGACTAAAAGGTTCTAATGGTCATAATTATTGAATGTCATAATGAAACACACAAGATTATGAAAAATATGATTGGGTGTCATAATCTTGTGTTTCTTCTATGTGTTGGGCTTTTAGTTAGAAAGATGTAGTAGCTTGATCTTTCTTTGTTTTTCTGTTCTATATTACAATTCGGGCATCTTTGTGTATATTTTGACTGAACCTTTTACTTTGTATTTATCATATATTCATACATGTTGCAAAAAGAAAAAAAAAAGATTGGTGAAGAAAAAACCCACTCTCATTACATTGGTTTTGAAATCATGTGAAAGTCAAGACTGACCATCGGGGTTCACCCTTTTTGCTGCAAAGGAAACTTAAAATAGGCCATAGAAAGGGATCCATGGAATTTTTATTTTTACACTATATCTTTTTCACCCTATATTTTGTTTTCCTATTTTTGGTGAATTTTATTCGCCATTCCGTACAATTTATTGTACATTACATTATTAAACTATTATGAGCATTTATGTCACCTGCTCATAATTTAGCTTAAGAGGTAATAAAATGCAAGTAAAACACACTTAATAAATTAATAAACATCACTAGATAGACGTCCCATGCCTTCTTGTTACATAGTATTTTGAACTTTAAAATTTTCGATTGAGATCAATATCTTTATCTCTGATTTCACTTCCAAATATATCAGTGATGACTCCTGTGACACTACAAAATTAAAATATTCTTCATAAAATTTTCTATCCCGCATCACTCAATGTTATGACAATTATATGCTTAAAATAGCAATAATTTTGAGACAACTAACAAGATCTATGATGGGCCAACACATCCAGTTCCAACCCAGTAGGAGGTTTACTAGTTTGGTATTAATGCCTCCCCTAAAATTGAACAAGAATATAATAATTCAAAAATCAAATAAGACTGCTCTTTACAGTGGAAGGGGCCTTAAAAATGAGGAAACAGAATTAACTCACCACTTTGCACGCATTGGGAAGTCATCGGCTTAATTCTTACTACTAGTAAACATTGTTTCTAAACTAGAGAAGATCGTGGATATCATGTCAGGCTTCACCTTCAGCACTGAAGTACCAAATTAAAGAAGCGTAATTGTGTCAAAGGAGTTAGCAATCAATTCTACATTTTAACTCCAACATGCATATTTGCATTTGAAATGGAGGAACTTCCAGTGTTATCAATGGCTAGAACTTAAATAGCGAAGAAAGTTCAGGAAAGGACACAGATCATAATTCTTATGAATAGAACATCATCCAAACCCTCAACTACACATGTAATTCAGTAATTACTAGGCCAGGAATATTATTACATAAAAGAGAATAAACAATTTCCTAGCACCAAACTTTGAGAATGTTAAGGATAATTATTAATATCTGCTAGCATGAAACTGGAAGCATCCAAAATGGCCCTGCAAAAACAAAATATTTTGTTAGTCATTAGTAAACTATTGAGTGGTGCAATTCCTACTTCTTACACAAAACCCCGAGTGGTATCACTTCTCCGCCCTATCTCTTTATGAGCAACCAAGTTTCAACATTGTACCCTGAATATTTATCCTCGGATGTACCTCCTAATAGAATCATATATGTATTCATACAACTTTCTAACAAAATATTAAGTAGAGATCTAAATTTGCAACTTATCTGGAAGCCCTTTTAGCAAACCCAAAAGAAAGGTTGTACACAGAAGAAAAAAAAACCCTAACCAAATTCAACAAGTACACTAACAGGAAATAAAACAAATACATAGAGTATTTGGGACCTTTTGTTTACAAGTCTTAGAAGATGTTGGCAGAGGAGAACGGGTGTTTCCAATCTAAAAGGGTGAGACTGACTCATTAAAAGCACATTCTCAAATTCAACCATTTATTTTATGACCCTTTTCCATATCCTTCCTAGAATTGCCAAAAGATTGGAATAAATCCAATGCCTTCTCTATCCCAACCGGAGGTTCAAGAGAAATAAAAATTGTCTCTACAGAAGGGCCCAGAAAGCTAAAAACTGCTTCATCATTTTAATATGAGTTAGCCCAGAGAAAACCTATCCGCCCACCAATTTTTTTATCAGATCTTTAAATTTGTCCACCTTCAGACACATTTCAAATCTGAACTGAGTCAACCTCCATCTAAGAGCATCTAGGTCTAGAAAAATAGGAAAATGATCAGCCGTGGGCCTGGAAAATCTAGACTGTGGCAATTTGGGGAAAGATTCTCAAAAAGCTGGTGAGACTAGAAACTTAATAATGCATGAAAGCAAGGGATCGTCTCTACCAATTTACCAAGTCCACTTGCTACCTTTTAAAGAGCGATCCACGAGCTTCGACTCCCTGAAAATGTCAATGAATTCCTTAGTACAATTTGCATAGATTCTCCCACTAGATCCTTCCAAGAGAGAAAGGGCCACGTTAAAACTAACCTCCAGTAATCCATAAGCTTTTCATCATTTGACTGGCTCGTGGTCATTCCATAACAAATCCCTCTCATTTTCCTTGCCTTCCCCATAAAACGCAATGAAGCACCATATGATGCTCATAGAAGTGTTACCCTTCACTACCCTAACCAAATCAAGAATGTTATCCCTCCAACTGATGATGATACCACCTGCATTTCCTCTAGCCGGAAGGTCAAACCATCCAATACCTCTTGCCTGCCTCAGACTCTTAACCGTACTATTCGCATTTTTCATTTTTGTTTCTTGGAGAGAAATCACATCACATAGGTAAAGGCTCAAACATTCATTTGTCGTGTTTGTTCCAATCTCCTCTTTTTCATGGTAAAACTACCACTGTAACCTCCTTAATTCCCTGCTCTGACCCCTACTTTTAGGTTTTTAACTGTTTCTCTCCAGTCTAGAGTTTAAGCTTCTCTCTGATCTGGCCGCTGTGTGAATCCCTTTCCTCTAATCTTGGAAATAACTTGAGCACCTTCTTCATCCTCCAAAGGATACTCTTAGCAACTTAACTACTCTTTAATACTATTAAGAACCTACTCAGAATTTGCAAAGTTTGATTTACATGCTTCCTCCCTTAACCTTCTCAACCATGCCCACTGATTTGCTTCTATTAAAGAGAGGTAGTAACAGGAGGAAAAGAATCTCTTATGGCTAAGGCATTGGCTCAGAGCTGGTAGTTCGCACCCTATGATGCTCATCAGAATACAATTCCATCTGGCACGTCACTCTTACCAGAAGATGGCTCCTAGATTTTTTGGACCGAACTTGAAAGCATGGGATCAATGGCGTATTGCCTTGCATTGCTAGCATACCCCTAACCTTCACGCAAAGCCATGCCTCAAGTTGGCTCCTAGATTTTTTTGGACCCAACAGAATCCGAGAGAGCTGGTTTCAGATCCTTGATTTTTTTGGCTCTGGGTCAACCGTTGTATTACATGGAAGATTCAGGAGAACTTGTTGATATCCTAACTGATTTGTAAATAATTTTATACATGGAAGATTTAGGAAAGCTGGTTTCAGATCCTTAATGATACTTTTATACTTGTTATTTAAAAAAAAAAAAAAAGAACCCACCCTTCCTCTGGTCACCAAAGAAGAGGAATGTCACATAACACAAGCTGTCTTGGAGCAGATAATGACTGCAGGCTGCCACAAACTATTGCCCCACCAGGAGAGCCTCACCCCCAACAAAAGCATTGAGATGCTGTGATGACATCCTAGTGAGTCATTCAAACTTGGAATATGTGCCCAACCACCATCCCAAGGGAGGCAGAAATGTTATGCTCAATCAGAATGAACGAGAGCAGTTTACTTGTAAAAGCTATGAGCAAGGGACCAATGACAAACGCAGGAAGGATGCTCCGGTTCAAACTCTACTTGTTTGGTATAGAACTAAGGTTTATATGGGAAATGATTAAAGGTGTTGATTTATGACACTTATTTATTGTTTGCATTAGCATTTAGATTTATATCTAATACTGGATTTTGATTTGTCGTGTTTATATACATATATATATATATATACATATATATACGATCCTGTAGTCTAATTGGGATCTACTTCTCATTGCTTTTATCAGCATTAATGTGTAGATCCACTAACCTAAATGCTGGAGTTTATACCTAAGATCAGGACTCTTTAGTGAGCCTCAACATAGGCTGACAAGACCAGAAATCAGGAAAGTAGCAGTGAGATTTCTAGAAGGCACCCCCATTTCCCTTTGAACAGATCCCAACTCCAGAACCATGACAGTAGAATTTTTTAGCCAAACTCAATCGAAAGAGATGATCTAAACCCTATTTTAAGATTGATGCACCATGAGAAGACTGGTAACAGTCAATAGAATCACTATATATAGGACTGCAAAATACTGAAAACATCAAAATTTAGTACAGATCTCGTTGTAGAAACCAATGCCCGAATCACTTAGCATGCCTTGGTTCTTCGAGTGATAGGCAGGAAACTTGGTTCCTAAACCTCATACTGGTTTAGCTAGCTCCCCTAATGAGAATTTTATGGGCCTTATGTCTTATTTTTCTTTATTTCACCCATGCACCCAAAAAAATTGCATAGAATATAAATATGATTTTCTAAGTCCCCTAACATGAATAAACTTGCTAACCTTGTTAAAAAATAATAATAATTATTATTATTATTATATCTCTTATCCAATTATCAACACATCGAGACAATGCAGTTCGAACAAGCTCACAAGTATTTCCACAGAGTCTAACGAAATTTTATGGGCCTTATGTCTTATTTTTCTTTATTTCACCCGTGCACCAAAAAAAATATGCATAGAATGTAAATATGATTTTCTAAGTCCCCTAACATGAATAAACTTGCTAACCTTGTTAAATAATAATAATTATATCTTTTATCCATTTATCAACCCATCATTGAGACAATGCAGTTCGAACAAGCTTACAAGTATGTCCACAGAGTCTAACGAGAATTTTATGGGCCTTATGTCTTATTTTTCTTTATTTGACCTGTGCACCTAAAAAATCTGCATAGAATATAAATACGATTTTCTAAGTCCCCTAACATGAATAAACTTGCTAACCTTGTTAAAAAATAATAATAATTATTATTATTATTATATCTCTTATCCAATTATCATCCGATCATTGAGACAGTGCAGTTCGAACAAGCTTACAAGTATTTCCACAGAGAACTTAGTAGGGCAATATAATGATAGCACCAAGTCAAGGATGTGGATAATCTCATTAGGACTAATTTCTCAAAATACTCTCTCCAAAAGAAACAAATTTTGGAACTTTTTCATCCACAAATAAACATTCCATTGCATGTTTATCAGCACTTCCAACAACAAAGAAGTAGGAAATGTTTGCAAATTACTGAAGATCCTTCTAATTAATCTGGAATGTAAAAGCAAAACGACAGAACAAGAGTTATGGCCTCAAATTCAGTAAATATCCTTCCAATAGAAGCAGCAAAAGATATATGACCGCCACAGAGGAATAGGACTATGATGTCAAAATCCATAACTCCGAGATAAAGTCATCAAAAGATCAGAAAAACGATAGTATTTCCTGTCACCTAAAATAAACAAAGTTCATGCTAGCGTATAAGTAGATCTAGACAGACAAATTAATCCAAAGCAAAAGGGAGACAAGGACGTTCTATCCGTAGGGTAGAGCATATCCCTTGCTCTTTGCTCGATCCGATAACATTATAGATATATATCATTGAACCATATCATTTAGGAATTAATACTATCAAGTGAAAAGTACCACAATCAATTCAGATCTCTGTCCTCTACTTTTTCTTACTTTTAGACAGAAATTTTCCCGAAACAAATAATGGTTCAAACACAACCAAACTCTTATTCTACGACTTTAAGCTGCGTAAAGATAATATCTGGCAGGCCGAAAAGATGATGAAAAAATTATGTCATGACCCTAACCCCAGCCCTAGCCCTGGAAAAACCAGAAAAGAATACAAAGAAAATAGAAGAGTTGATACTAACCGAGAAGCGAGGATCTATTTGGGAGATTTTTCGCTCTTCGAAGAGCCGTACCGAGGAGGTGAGTAGATCAGAGCAGCAACCATGGCTCCCGGAAGAACCACGTATTTCGCCAGCGCCGCAAGCTTCGCCACCAAAGGTTCTCCTCCCAACAGTGCCATTTCTTTTCTTCAACAAGCAAAACAAGTGAGAAGAATAACGTTTTCTTGCTCCAGATAGGCTAGTCTACTCGATCGGCACTCAGCTAGAAGATCCTTTCAATGCGCCTGGACGGACAAGGTTGTAGCCGGACTTCAATAATAGTGAAAAGTAAATGACGTATTACAAACCTACTTATCACAATTTAATCTAAAATTTCTTTTTTCTATTACAAATTAGTATCTAACTTATAAATTATTTTAGACATTATATTTCAGCAAATTTTTTCACAAAAATAGTAAAAATCCTTTGAGACATAAAAAAAATAATTTAAAATACAATATATTTATTTAAAAATAAAAATAAAAATAAAAAATCAAAATCATTATCACGTGCCTCTTTTCCTTATGATCTTTTTTTTTTTTACTTAAATAAATTAAATTAAATATCTTTATGAAAATTAAGTAATTTTCAATTATTATAATTTTTAAACTCTATTAAAAATAAAATATTTTTAAAACAACAAATTTAGCTTTTTGAAAAAATTATAATTGCATAAAAATATTATAAATGGAATAATTTCCAATTTTAAATATCAAATTGCAAAAAATGAGGACTTTTATCATGTAACTTTTACATAGCAAATAGTTTCGATTGAGAATAATTCATTTAACCAGACTTAAGCTCGATAGTTAACATCATACTCGATAAAAAGCTAAAAAATTAGTTTGCTTCTGTCAAAACAAGAACATATTAGGAACAAATTTTGCCTCTTCAACTGGGTCATGTGCAACCTCATTACAACTTCTAAGAATCCAAAAAAAAAATAAAAGTGTTAAAAGAAAATCAAATTATAATGATATTATTCATCAACGATGCGAACTTTGTTAAGTTCAGAATTATTATTTGAGAGTCCTCTTCCACTATGAAGTGTAAAATATCTTGTCCTCCGATCAATTTTAAATCAAAACAAAATGTTATAGCCTTAGTAATATCAACTAAGGTTTACCAAGGGACTCTTTTTTTAGTAACAAAAATAGTTTGTCTATTCCAATCATGACAAATCACACTTAAACCCATTTGGACATCCAAAACAAATTGTGCATATTCAATTTAAATACACCTTATAGTGGGGATAACCGATAGAAAAGCACATCATTATCCAAATAACCACCATCAACATTATTAGTTTTGGGGTTTAAATTCTCTAATTCGTAAAAATGATCATGGATTTGAGACAATAAAAAAAGTGGATATATTCACTTATGATCATGAATCCACTTATTCCTCATCCACCAAATGCCTCAAATAATAGGCATAAACCAAATGTTATAGCCTTTATCAATTGTAAAGACATTTATAACTAGGAGCAAAAAAGAATTCTTACCTAGTTCTGTAAAGGCAAAGTTGGATCTTCCTTTATATGGTCTCAGCATATACATAAATAAATGTGCAGTGATCTCGTCTTTCTCCCTTCACATAAAGCAAATAAGATCTAGAGGCACCCCTTTTATAATAATTTGGCTTTCATAAAAATAGTAAATAACTTTTTGATACTCAAAAATATAACATATAACCATGAAAAGTCATGTACTCTTAAATTTTATAAAACAGAACCTCAACTGTTACTAAATAGAATATATAACGTATTAGATATATAAACTTTACAAGTAAGCACCTAAAGATGTATAATAATTATAATATTTACGTAAATAATGCAAATCATGTGCATAGATAATATTTAAGCACTAAGAGTTATCATACGAAGAACC